TGCGTGCAAACTGCAAACACTGCAACAAAGAAATGCAAGGCCTGGTGCCCCGAATGAGGCAACATCATGAGAAGTGCTGTGATGAAGATGACCAAAGAAACACATTTGAACAGGAAGGATCTTCAGGTTGGTAAACATTTTTATTGAATCATATTTCTAAAGACTGCCTTGAACTGTCATGTTTGAGCAAAATTATATTTCTTATTATTACTGCATATTACTGTCATTTGGTACAGTTATGAAGCAAAGCAAATATTCCTGTTGGGGCAGTGCTGTGTACAATAAGCAGAAATTGTATAAACAATAAAATAACAGCATTGACTTTTTTGTTTAGGGGAATTCATGGATTCTGGAAACTATCCATCTTCAAGATCACCATCCTCCTGTTCTACAGTTTCAGAGTTATCCATCCAGGATAGTGCTTCATTAGCATCATCATCATCAGACACCCACAGCCACATATCACTATCACCTAAAAGAAAGAAAAAACCCTTCCCTCCTGGAACCACTATAGATAAATTTGTGATAAAAACTAGCAGATTAGAAAAAGAGTTAATTGATGAAAAAATTGCCCAGTTTGTTTATGCAACGAACTCTTCTTTCCGTCTGACTGAGAACCCACGTTTCATTAATATGGTTCAGTCACTGAGACCAAGATACAGTCCACCCAGCAGAGCAGATGTTGCAGGGAAATTGCTGGATAAAGTGTATGACAGAGAAATGGAGCAATGTGCAACAGCTCTGGAGGGTAGAATTGTTAACCTAAGTATTGATGGGTGGAGTAATGTCCACAATGATCCTATGTATGTGCTTGTATAACAACAGAAGAAGGGAAAGTCTTCCTTGCACAAACAATTGATACATCAGGAAATGCACACACAGAAGAATACTTACAAGAAGTGGCAGTAAAAGCTATAACATGTGAACAAAAATTGAAATGTCTAGTACGCAGTTTGGTCACAGACAATGCTGCAAATGTATCCAAGATGAGAAGAAATTTAGAAGAGCAGGAAAGGAATACAAAGCTAATAACATATGGTTGCAGTGCTCGTTTGCTGCACCTCTTAGCCAAAGACTTAAGTGTTCCAGAAATAAAGACTAATGTTGTTGAAATTGCTAAATATTTCCGTAACAATCATTTTGCTGCAGCAGCTCTGAAAAGGATGGGTGGAACCAAGCTAACGCTCCCACAAGATGTTAGATGGAACTCTGTGGTGGACTGTTTTGAGCAGTATATCAAGAACTGGCCTATTCTGATGACAGTTTGTGAAGAAAATCGAGATAAAATAGATGGCACTGTCACAGCCAAAATCCTCAACATTGGGCTTAAGAGAAATGTTGAACATATGCTGAGCATCCTGAAACCCATCTCTGAAGCTTTAAACAAAATAAAGAAAAATAGCTGTTTTATTGCTGATGCTGTTGAAATTTGGAAGGAACTGAGTGAACACTTAAAAACAGAACTACACATGGACAGAATTAAATTACAAGCATTAAAAAAACGAATGGGACAAGTACTGTCTCCAGCTCATTTTTTGGCAAATATTGTCAATATCCAGTATCAGGGTCAAAACTTAAGTGCTGAGGAAGAGGAGTTAGCTATGACACTGGTATCCAGCAATCATCCATCTGTAATGCCAACTATAATAAACTTCAAAGCTAAGGGGGAACCATTCAAGAAATATATGTTTGCTGAAGATATTTTAAAGAAAGTCACACCAGTGAACTGGTAGAAGTCACTTAAGCACTTGGATTTAGAGACTGTTCAAGTAATGATTTCACTTTTAACAGCAGTAGCTTCTTCTGCAGGCGTTGAAAGAATATTCTCTTCCTTTGGACTCATTCATTCTAAATTGAGAAATCGTTTGGGACCCGATAAAGCAGGAAAGCTTGTTTTTCTTTTCCAGATTATGAACAAAGAAGAAGATGACGATGACGAGTGAGCTACAGAGGACAGTATTTAAGTTTTTCATATGTAGGCTGGGCTGACAGTCTAAGTTTCTTAAAATATATATATATTGTTTAGCCAAATTAGTTAACAAACATGGATGTTTGTTTAAGCAAATAACATGCTGTAATGTTATTGTTTCAGTTGAATAAATCTATTTAAATTGTTATTATTAAGGTAATGATTATTTTTCTCCTTCCTAAGTACCGTATTTTCCGGCGTATAAGATGACTGGGCGTATAAGACGACCCCCAAATTTTCCTGTTAAAATATAGGGTTTGGGAAATACTCGCCATATAAGACTACCCCTCTTCCAACACACACCAAATAAAAATTAAAAAACATCAACTGGCTCACCCACAATGTAAAAGCAGCTGTGCTAGACCCAAAATGGCCCCTGCAACAAGCAGGAACCTCACACAGCCACAAAAAGCCCCAAAAAAACCAACTTTCACACTTTACACACACACAACACAACACAACTGGCTCACCCACAATGTAAAATCAGCTGTGCTAGACCCAAAATGGCCCCTGCAACAAGCAGGAACCTCACACAGCCACAAAAAGCCCAAAAAAACAACTTTCACACTTTACACACACAAAATTCAACATACAGCTTTGTGAGATTTTGTGTGTTTGTATAGTTAGAGTGAAACACTACAAAAACACAGTAAATCTCAGAAAGCTGCACAAATATTATTTTATTTTATTTTTATTTTTATATGAAAGCTAAATTTAAAACTTCCTAAACTTTAAATGGCTAGGTCTAAAAAAGAACAACTAAAAAAAACCCCAATTAACTTTTTTTTTTTAAAGCTCCCAAAGGGGAAAAAAACTTACCCAATAGAACAGGGGTCTCCAACCTTGGCAACTTTAAGACTTGTAGACTTCAACTCCCAGAATTCCTCAGCCAGCTTTGTTTTGCTGGCTGAGGAATTCTGGGAGTTGAAGTCCACAACTCCCTGCCTGCTTGATTGCAGGCAGGGAGTTGCTTGCTGATGGAATGGATTCAGGCAAGTGAAGCAAGGCAAGCGTTGCGACTAGCAGCTAAGCTAAGCAAGCTGGAGGGGGAAAACTTTTTTCCTTTTACATGGCTCTGGCGATCCCAGCTGAGTTGCCTGATTAGCAGATCGTCAGAGCTTGGATCGCCACAGCCATGTGAAAGGAAAAAAGTTTTTTCCTTCTACATGGCTCTGGCGATCCCAGCTGAGTTGCCTGATTAGCAGATCGTCAGAGCTTGGATCGCCAGAGCCATGTGAAAGAAAAAAAGTTTTTTCCTTTTACATGGCTCTGGCTATCCCAGCTGAGTTGCCTGATTAGCAGGCAAAGTTGGGATCGTCAGAGCTTGGATCGCCAGAGCTATTTAAGGCTTGTCAGAGCCTTTCGGGCTGGTCTGCCTGGTTACAGGAGAACGACACCCGGCGTATAAGACGACCCCCGACTTTTGAGAAGATTTTCATGTGTTCGTGTGTCTTATACGCTGGAAAATACGGTACAACAGAAAAGTTGTCCAAATATGAATGATGAACCTATTAAACTGGGGATAAAAAAACTAATATGAAAAGTTGTTATTCTAAAAATCTTCATCTACTTACATATTAAAGTTATACAAGGAAGAATTAGTCTTTATGTAGAAAACTATGATTTAAATCAAGCCTTACTGACTAGTGATTTAAATCGTGATTTAAATCTTGATTTAAATCAGTTTGATTTAAATCAAATCCACCCTGCTTGGTCCCTGTAATAAACATGATATATAGTCAATGGAACATATATTATGTGGTCCTTGGTGCTCTCTGAGCTTGGTTGTTCTAGTCCTGTTTTAGGCATGAAAGCAACTGGTGACTTTGGGCCTGTCGGCCTCTCTCAGCCCGAGCCATCTCACAGAGTTGTTGTGGAGGAAAAAAGGAGGAAGGTTATTAAGCATGTTTGCTGCCTTGAGATGTTTATAAAAATAATAAATGCAAGATATAATTTTAAATAAATAAATACACACCACTAGGTAACATGCAGCTCACCACATTCTGCGTTAAATATGTTATGGATAATCTTCAAGGGCAACCTTGATGTGACAAGTGCATAACTAATTACTGCTGGTTTTCTGTTCCATAAAAATACCATACAGGCATTTCTCAACAACTTGCTGCTTAGCGACCATTCAAAGTTATGACGGACTCTCCCAAAGCTACTTACAACCCATTTTCAAAGTTATGACAGCCACACACCCCATAGTCATGGATCGCATTTGGGGCACTTAGCAACTGGCTCAGCTTTATGGCTGTTTGCAGGGCCCTACATTCATATGAACATGATTTGTGACTTTTTTGCTGATTTCCTACGTTTACTTCGATTTCCAGCAAAAAATACCCATTGGGGGAAATTAATTTAGCAGCCACTACAAAAAAATGTAAAAAAAAAATCAGGTCTAGTTTGTGATGCCTCTATTAATGACTGCAATGACTTACAACTGTAATTTTGGGCTCAATAACCATCATAAGTTGAAGATTACTTATAATTGGTGCATTAACTATATGCAAAGGTTCTCCTGGACTCTCATTTCTGCTGGACAGCAGGGAGAAACTCTGGCCTTAATTCCACACCAATTCTGTTGTAGCACAATCTTAGCAAGAGCCAGCTTTGACTTCTGAACCAATAGTCACTCTGTCTTGGTAGAGTTAGGTCCTAGTAGGTCCTTCTCATCCAGACCTTTATAACCTTCAGATCAAGTCATGACTTCTACTCTATCTCTTGACTGGTCTGGAGATGTATAACTGAGTATTATTTGCATACTGATAACACCATATCCCAAGCCATTGAATAACAGCTTCAATTAGATGAAAAGATGGTTGATTCCCCCCAGGTCAGTACATACTGAAGGGCCTTAGGGCTTAATCTCTCTGCCCCAACACATACACTGACTGAACTGGCCACCTACTGTAGGAAAGAGAAGAATTAGTACCCCCAACTTCCAATTCTTGGAAAAATTACAAAAGGATTCCATCATTAACCACTGAAAGGTTGAACAAGACAAGTAGAGTTGCATTCTCCTTACCCAAGGCCTTCCATGGGTCCCTGGTGAGATTGACCATTTTTCATCGCTTGGCAGGACCTGTAAAGGTTAAGATAATCACTTCTTCCAGAATCTTAGTTGCCAGCCCTCCACCTCCTGAACAAGGAGGGAAAGCTTGAAGACTAAGGTAATATTAATTAATACTAGACAATCCATGACCCATTGGCTCATTATTTCATTAATATTTCCTTATTTATTTTCAGAAATATTTCTTTACCTAAACACAGACAGAATGACCAAGGTAGGCAAGAAAAAAAAAATCAGTGGGAGCAGAAGCGACTGACTTCAATGGCTTCCCCATTGAGCTTCCTTATAGAAAGCTGGCTCTGAGCATCGGAAATCTTCCTTCTTTCCCTTGCCAGCTGGCAGGCAAATAACTGCAGCTGGATGAGTGAGGGAATGAGGGCGTACATGAGTAGTTGGTGCAGTGCAAGTATAGAGGGACTGGGTGTAGAAGGTGCAGCATTTCTCCATTGACCTTCTCCCTGAAAGCTCCCACAAGCAAAAACTTTCCTAGTAGGAATATGGCAAGAAGCAACAGAAATCATATCCATTCTTTTCAGGTTCCCCATCAACTTGTGGGAAGCTGTCAAGGAATGTTGAAAATGAGGATCATGTGACTGTGGCTGACCAGCAATGACCACCAGCAGCACAATGGTGCTAAAGCAGCCAAAAATTCCCCACATTTCATCTCCTCAGGAGTACAGGGCCTGAGCATTCTGTAAGCTAATTTATTTCTGCTACATTTGTTGAAAAGGTTTTGTCCTATGATACCCAATTGAAGGTTACTAAGTATCTAATGGATGCAAGAGTTTTATCAGTATTAATAGCTGGACCTAAACATTAAAGAGATGTATCAGTGCCTCTTAATAAATGTTGGTACCTTCCCCCCAATAGAAAAGCATTCACAATTGCCTAGACCTAGGCTGTCAGATGCCCCCAGGCTGTATATGTACTCTCTCGAGGAGGGCTTAAGCATCTATCTAACTAGGCCCATTCTAGAAATCAAAGCAACCAAAATTGAGCTATTTACAATTTATTTTCTCTTCTGACAGATTAAGTACTCTGCAATAGAAATCAGATATGACAGGATGCCCCCCCACCACACACATAGGCACCTGATGACCTAGACAAGTCCACTGTTCCCATGGAAGCCATGAAATCCTAAACTCCTCAGAACTACCCCAGGGATGAAGTGCTGAAACCACACAGGATAAACAGCTTTGGTATATCAATCATTACCCTAAGGTAAGACTGACAGCTCAGGCCAGGATGCCACTGTGCAGATGGGAGGGTGCTGCAACAGTAGCATCCCTATCTTGTTCCTGTATCTCAACTGCTATAGAAATGGACAGGTTTATAGATAATGTATAACAGATAACATCTGTGATCTTTTTAAAACAACACATTATCTTGGAAAGCAATTAACCAGCTCAGGTTCAATAATACATGATGGGTGTTCGGGATGCATGGGTAAGAGGATAGAGTAGGAAATACAGAATATGTAAACCAGAAATACACACTGAATTTTGCTGAATCCCAAACTGAATCAGACTGGGCTTCGGGTTTCTGGCATGCACACGTTCTGGTTTGGGCACTCGGTGCCGAAAAGGTTCGCCATCACTGCTATATGTCTTTATAAATGAAGAGTGACTGCCTTCACAGCTTACAGAACAGGATGTAGATTTTCTTGAAGCATCTCATATTATTTGATTATCTTGAAGGATTCCAGAAATGCATTTTATATAATGTCACACTATGGAGTCAAGTAGTCCCCATTTCAAAGAGAAAAGGATTTCTTTCTGGCACCCTTGTCCTGTCTACTGTCCTGGTCGTCTACTTAAGTATCTACCTGCTAGCCAGCATGCTGCTCCTTTCACTCTCTCTTCTTAGCCCGAGTAACTCATAACAAATGATCTTCAGAGTGAGGAGCAATGATCTAACCACTGTAGCAATTGTTTGGCTTGCAGCTGCATAGATGGCTACCGTGATTACCTCATTCATGATATCTAACACTGAAGACCTCATTCTGAAGTATTTAATCCAGGAAGGAGTGATGGAACTGCAGTCATTGAGTAACAGGCACTGCAATATATAGCATGAGAACCTGGTATCAATCCAATGTTGTTTTCTATTCATTCACCTAAAGCTACCTCTTTCTCCAGCCTTGCTGACAGGATTATAACACAAGGGTTCTTTTAATAAGGGTTCTGTATTAACACTTTTTAGAAATATGCCCCCTCAATTTTCCTTCCTTATGTATCTAATAAATCTCTACACTTACCCACCATTCAACTTTTAATTAAGGGGCAAGTGTTACAATAGGTATTCTTTTCATACAAACTGCCTGCCAAACAAAATAAGAGTCATATCTGTGTGGTTCAAGATCCTATACATCTTTCAAAACCAAAAATCAAACCAAAACTATACTGTATCACAACGATTTCAAATTTGGTAAAATGTATCTCCAAATAAAAACCTATGTGCCTGCAAAAGTAAAATTGTAGCATCTTTGTATGTAAATAATTTACAGAGCTCCATCATCCAAACTCCTATAACTATTTGCTGCATCTTGGCTTCCTCCTGGTAACAAAGTCTCCTAAATTTTCAATTTGTCCTGATGTATATTTAAAAGTAAATAATTGTGCATACTTGTGGATTTTTCATTATAATTAATGGGAAATACAAAGTTTTGGTTTCAGTATGACCCTGACAAATTGATTGGCCTCTGAATTTGACCATATCAAACTATATCCTGAATTAAAATCACATGCCTATTTTAAATCAATATCATGTTATTGATGAACCTCTGGTTTTATAGTAATATTAGGACTGAATCAAGAGTTTTCAATTTGCAGAGGGTCTCCACCATAACAATAAGATAGTCCCTCATTCTACTTTTACACACTGATAAATATAGTTCTGATCGTTCTCTTCCTTTCCCAGCATAGATGGCATTACACATGCAAGCTTCCATAATCTTTTTTCAGCAGTATTCAGGAGATAAGCTGTTACTACAATCTAGTAGTGTATTTTCCTTCTTTTGGATAGTCAGCTTTGATCATTGCTGCTGCCTTTCTCCAAACAGGAAACAAGGTAGTAAGATGATAGATAAATCAAGGGCAATTATATAATCATGAAGGGAGTAGCAACAATAAAGCATCAATGATAACTAGGAAGGAGAAATCTTAACTAGGTGATAGAATTCAGCTACAAAGTTGAAAATCTGTTGCAATCATTCCTTCTCCTTTATTGACCTTACAAATATCAACTTTCCCAAATGACTAAGCTAAATAACAGGCAACAATTATAAAGGCTGCAAGTTAGTAGCAGCTGCAAAATGTTTTGCACTGTGTTAGGAAGAAATGCTTTGGAACCCTAAGAATACATCAGCTGTCCGCAATGTGTTAAGGCAGCTGGGTCTTTCTACAGGATCTGTGGCTGCTCACTGCTTTAATGAATTGCAGTCAGGTGTTATGTCTGTACTCACATATGTGCCAAAGTACCTATTCTGAATTAAATCCAAAACACTGCACATTTCTGCTATCCAATTTATTTTGGGGTTTTTTAAATGTATGGAAAAATGTTTTAACTTCCTTAAAATGGAGAAGATTCTATAAGCAGGGAGGCAGAAAATAAGTCAAAGCCCATGAATAAGATCATCAATGAGCCTGCAATTCAATTTTGACAGATCTACTAAAATAATTTCTATTTTGGGCTTTTTCTAGAAAAAAACTAGAACCACAAAAGAAGTAATCCAGTATTAAAACAAATGTAAAGTAATTAGCCTTGATTATGAAACAAAAAAAGGAAACTAGTTAATCTGGTCAAGTAACATTTAGAAGTTTGGTTTCTAAATATTAGGAGCGCAGAAAAGCATTTACATTTTCTCAAAATGGCATCTTCTATACATAGTACATTGCTATTCAGACAGACAGAAAATGCAGATTATTGGCATGGATTGATTCATCAAATTATATTATTCTTATATTCAGTCTGTTTCCCCATAATCAGTGGGCTCAATGTAAGAGTTCCATTATAAACTTTTAAACTCCTGAACAGCTTGGGATGGGATACTCTGAAGAAAGGTTTCTTCTTTATCCACTTCTGTATATAGTAAACATCTGAGATTCTGTTCCTGGTGCCTTGACAATGGTGATATCCAGACAACAAAGGTTCCCAGATACAACAGCACTTTAGTCCTGGGACGCTGCTCAAAAAAGAAACAGGATCCAACTAGAGTCACCACACTGTTCTGCAATCATGAGCAATATTCTAGTTCTCATTTTCCATAGAATATACATACATGATATTAATATTGCTAAGACAAAGACATTGGTTAAGTGATAAAAAATATAGAATTGTTTTTCTGATTATCTCAAAATCTTCCACATTTTTTATAAAAAACATACTATATGTACTGTTCCCATAAAAGAAATGTACAGTTGTACTAACTACAACAAGAAACATGTTTACTGCAGGAACAGCCATTTCCTTGTAATATCTCTGGAGACATGATTCAAGGAACCAATGAACTCTTGCCTATAGATATAAACAAGATAAGGAATAAAGCTGAAGTCAAATGCAGTTATCCTATTGTGCAGAAAATAAAGTCTCTGTCCATGTCAAATTGTATATATCGCTAAGAAATGTCATATTAGTATAATGTGTGAAAAATAAATAAACATGCTCCTTGTACATAGTTATAGATCTAGAAAGCAACACTACTTCAGCCAATTTTCTGGATTATTTTTCTACATAATTTCTGCAGAACCCTCATAAATCAGGCTGAGGAATCTGATAACAGTTCAGAGTTCAGATCAGTTTCTCCACCTACCCAGGCAGACTAGATGATGTTGGGACAACTTAAACAAATGGAAACCAGACCCTCTGGTAGCACACTTCTCACCTCCATGATCAGGAGCCACCATTCTCTATTTTCTCTCATGGACAGAAAATAATGCTTTGGACATATAAGATGAACTCAAAAGTTCATGCAAATAAAGTAGGGAACCAGTGAACAGAGCTGCAAACTGTCC